TGTTGTAATCATTCAGAAAAATTTCGTAAAAATTTATGAAAAAAGAACCGCACGGTTTTTTTTCAGAGCAGCAGCATTCAACACTTTGTAACTGCTTCTTACATTTAATCCTTACTATTTAGCTTATATTAAAATAACATTTAAAAATTGACGAATGAAATAAAAGTAAAAAGGAGAAAACAAAAATTGTTAAATATTGGCATTTGAAATTGGTAAATTGCAGTCGATCTTTGCCGATGGTATACATGGATCTTCGAGTGAAACAAATACGATTTGCAGTGTTAACAACGACAAACGATTATTTACCTGACCGTAGGTCTCTTGTTCACGCTCTTCAGAGCAATGTTGGTCAAGTTTATTGGCGATATCAGCAGTGGCCTTTTGCTTATGCAATGAAATCGGCGGATTTTCTTGTTTTCGATGCTCGTCAATACCGCAAACCTTTAGTGACATCGAAAATTGAGCACAACGACCCGGGTTAGCCGCCGTAAAAAATTTTTCACAAATTTATAACTAAGACGTCTTTTTCAGTATATAATTGATGATTTATTTTTTTTAACAATAATGTATTCTGCTACAATTTGAACAACAATTGATACTGAACAGACAATCAAAAGCCTTCTTGATGGTCGATCACTGCTTCCTTTTTAACGTTCAACAAATCTAATTCAGTTAACTGAACTACTGTTGCTTCTTTTTGTTCCGTATTGTTTTTTTTACCTAAATTAATACAATCTTATACAAGTTTAACCAAATTTATTCCGAACGTAACGCTAATTGTTATCGAAAATTACTTGAGCAACATAACTGTTGTAGAGCAACAGCAAAATATACAATGCGGTAACAACAGATCATATTAAGCAGCAAAATGAAGTGTTTGTAAATAAATACGATTGAAATAATGAAAAAAAAATTTTGTTTCAAATTGAATATATTTGGAGAAAAAACTAAGTTTTCGAAGAAGCGCTTTCTTTTTTTTTTTTTTTCTTGGTAAATATCGATAAACAGATGTCGAGACGTCAAAATTGGGTTAAGACTAAGTTTACGGCTAGTTTGCAATAATTTCGCTTCCCACATCTTTTTTTTTTCACGTAAAAGTTGATTATTTAAATAATTTAAACACTTTTACAGCACTTTCAGTTTTTTTTTTTGTTTGGTTGTTGACTGATAAAATAACAGTTTAATATAGTAAAATTGGTTGGCAATAATTTTTTTTTGGGTTAAGTTTTTGTGACAACTGTATGTCGTTTGATCAGTGTTGTAAAAAGGAAACTTCCATCGACTTTATTGGAAGACCATACGTATTTTTTACATCTTAACTATAACTGACAGTTAGTTTAATTAATTGTGAAAAGCATAGTTTTTTTTTGAAATTTTTCTGTTGTATATTATTGTTCTTTGGATAATTTTTATAAACATAATTATCGTCAAATCTACAAAATTTTTATCGAAGCAGTAGATGAGTTAAAACTTTTTGAAACCAATAAATGCTTTTGTGGTGAATAGGTCTGAAAAGTAAAACTGAATTACAGTCTAAACACAGACTTAGTGCAAGCAAATAAGAAAAATGGTGGTCTTTTGAAAGATTTATTTTACACTGTAATAGTACTATTTTGGTCGATGGTCATCTAGACTATGTTTAAGCATTGAAATGTCATTGTAGCTTGCTTCAGTAAACTACTGAAACGTTCTAAAGCTTTAAAAAAATCATTTTTTCTTCTGTTTATGTATTTTTGATTCTCTGTTTACTAATATTCTTAAAACTTTCCTTTTTCCTTTTTTCTATTTTTCTCCTTCTCCTTTTCTCTAAGGTTTATAAACCATTCTTAGCGATAAAAAAAAGAACTTATTTACTTAAAAACACTGTCAATTTATCATTATCACATCATTTTCGACGTTTTGTTAAAAAATTTGCTCATGTCAATGAGCGATACAGATTTGCTGTACAAACATTTGTCACAGAGATGATTCGTCAAACGAAAATTTTATGAACGAAAAAAACTGTTGGAAGTCTTCTTTTTTCTCTATCTTTATCCATTCATATAGTAGGCAACTCATAAAACCTAAAAGGTCAACGGTTAAGCCTAATGAATGAATGAATGAATGATTTTTGCGCAGGATAAACATTTCGTTTTTCATATCACATGATTTAAGATTTCTGGAAATTATAAATAGAATATAGTGTAAAAGTGAAAAAAAAACACATTGTAATCAACGAACAATAATTTTCGACATATCAAAGAATAAGAAAAGTGAAACATCCCAAAAGTGAAAATATGTACAAAGACTTTGAAAAATGGTAAAAACGAAACAGAAAAAATGCAAAAAAAGAAGGCAGAGTTTCTGAAGGTCATTTATTGGTATCACTTCTCTTTTTTTTTTTTTTTTTTTTTGACTGTATTGAAATGAATCCTTCAGCAATAAAAATACCCCCAAAAAAAGTCAAAACAAAAACAGACTTAAAGATAATTCAACAACAATAACAACAACAAAAAACACAAGCAGATGTCAACTTATAGTTCTTCTAGGGTTTGAATAATTAAATTATGAAAAGAAAGCAATCTTTTTTGAGAAAAAAAAATAAAAGTAAACAAATAAAACTACTTTTTATTTCTTCTTCAGAGATATATAGTTGGCAACTAAGTTTGAAAACGGCAGTTAATGGTTTCTTTTCATCTCTCCTTCTTCTGCGACAGTTTTCAGCGATAAGAGGAGAAAGATTGTTCAACTTAGATAACAAAACACACAAAAACTGCAGGTCAGAATCACTGCTGTTCAACCGCAGAAAAAAAAGGAGAAAAGAGAAAAAAAGAATATATAAATAAATGAATATTTCCTGTATTTTCTTTTAAGTTTTTTAATATACAGTTCTGTAACAGAATTAAAAGTGAAATAGCAAAGTTCAACAGCATTTTCTACAGGTTTTTACGGCGAAAAGAAATTGTATAAACATTTTTTGACAAAAGCTATTTGATACCTTTTAACCAGTTACTGCTGTAACTGCCCAACTCGAAATCTCCAATAGTCTTAATAATGTTATAAAATTTGTCAATGTTCTCCGATATCGTATCTGAAATCTTTGCTCAAAATTCTCTTGTATTAATGCAAAACATTAAAACTATTTAACAAATTTGTTAAACTGATTCCTAAAATGACCACTTTAATATACCGTCTCATCAGTCAAATAAACAAGAGCAGTATCTGAAGACTAAACAGTAATTTGGAAAGCGATATTTCATTACACATTTCAACAGAGTAGTCAAAGCTACAAAATCGGTTTGGTCGCTCTGGTAGCCCTAACATTTATGATAATACTTCCAACAAATTAGCAGT